AAAATACTCGCCATAAAAATAAATAGAAATCAATTATAAAAAGAACAAATGAAGTTATTTTATAAGATATCCCACTTGGAGAGAGTAGATAGGATAGGATATAGGATAGGATAGGATAGGACATAGGATAGGATAGGACATAGGATAGGATATAGGATAGGATAGGATATAGGATAGTATATAGGATAGGATATAAGATAGAATATAGTAGATTTATTCTAAAATTTTGATCACCTCTTTTGGACCCAAAAATAATAGTACATTTTCAGTTATTTCTATTGCAATATGTGTGGACCAAAAATATGTAATGCTAAATTTTAAGTCGACAGTTTTACTAGTTTTTGAGATATAGCGCTGTGACAGACGGACGGGTGGATATACAAAGAGGCACCATAAGGGTTCCCTTGCACCATTTTGGAACGGAACCCTAAAATAGACGTTACTGTCTAGTTCTATCTTATGCATACAGTAGCGATAACGTACAAGTATAACAGTTACTGTATAGACTTGTGTGCATCGAGTAATACGCTAGAAGGGCTCGTGTTGACATGCAGCGGGTTTTTTAATGGGTGTAAAAGAAATAGTGACCCCAACTGTCGGTATACACTGGCGGGGCACCAGTGATTGGTCAGTTGGCCCATAGTGGCTAATTCAATAATTTAATCATGGTGGTTTTCAGAGAGGGCCGCGTAGAGGTCTACCTGATAGGGTATATATAGCAATGGGGCTGTTAAACACCATTATTAGCAATTCTTTTTCCCTCACAGAGTAACACGTTGTCCTCTCCATCTATTATACAATTTTTGAAATTCCTACAATCTGTTCATTTGTTTGAAATCGTTAAAAAGTTTTAAGGGTTCCGCAGACGGTGGGCATTTTGTTAATTAAAAAAATTTCCCTTTATTGCATTGTGTACCTTGTTTGATCAGGTTTTTTATAATTTAACGAGAGGTAATCACTAATTCTCGCTGTGTATTATTGGGCGTAATAAAACTTTTGAAGTTGCATGTTACAACGGTAACAAATTGTTTAAATACACGACTAATCATTACGTATATTCAAAGTATGTATGCGCTTCATACGTGTGGCTTACATACAGAAATTACGTACGCGATAAAATGTCCATCGTCTGCACAGGCCTCTTAGTCACAGCGTCGATATATGGACTTCCATAATCTTCCAGCACTTACAAAGCATGCATCTAACACAGCGAAATATTGTCCACGAATAAATCTATATCTATATATATATATATATTTTAATGGGTGATCATAAAATGGTAACCCCGCCTGATACCATTTTATGATTATACGCTGACGGTATACGCTGGCGGAGCACCAGTGAGGGATGATAGGTGACGATGAAAGCAGGCAGGTCAGTTAGCCCATCGTAATGAATTGTACTAGAATTAACTACGATGGTTTCCAGGGGGAACCACGTGGAGGTCGACCTGTTAGGGTATATTGCTAGCAATGGGGTAGTTAGACCACATTACTAACAATCCCTTTTTTCTAATATAGATATAGGGGGGGCCCCTATATCTATATTAGAAAAAAAAATACAGAAAAAGCTTTCATTTGCAATCAAATGCACTTTATAAAAAACAAACAAAGTATCTATCTATCAGTCCATTATTTGCATAGGCGCTTAGTTAACAGCCCACAGCGCCGTGCCGAGTGCATACGATCGCTGCGTAGCGATGTATCAATCAAAGTAAAATGGCACAACGGATAACAGTTTTAATGAGTATAATCGCTTGCTAACGAACCTGTAACTGAATCAGACAATAGGATTATTTCGAGGCTATGTCTGTTTACTTTTGTTCACTCTGTGTAGATTTGGCGGCCTGTGGAGCGGGGTGTATTCACACCACATGTATTTTTTTAATGGGTGATAATGGAATGGTAAGCCGCCTGCGCTATCGGTATACACCGGCGGGGCACCAGTGAAGGATGATAGGTGAGGATGAAGCAGGTCAGTTAGCCCGTCGTGACGAATTCAACAAGAATTGTTCACGATGGTTTCCAGGTGGAACCACGTGGAGGTCGATCTAATAGGGCATATTGCTAGGAAAGGTGTTGTCAAACTCTATTGCTAACAATCCCTTTGCCCCCACACCACATGTATTATATATGTAGTCAAATAATATTATCCTAATAGAGTTAATTGCTAGTAACTAGGACTAACGTCCGTGTGTTTTAGGGGATTGTTAGTAATGTGGTACTAATAGCCCCATTGCTAGCAATATACCATCTCAGGTCGACTTCCACGCGTTTCTTCTCCTTGCAAACCATTATACTTAATTCTTGTCGAATTCGTCACGGTGGGCCAACTGACCTGCTTCATCCTCACCTTATCATTCTTCACTGGTGCCCCGCCGGTGTATACCGATAGGGTGGGGTTAGCATTCCATCATCACCCATTAAAAAAAAGTAACACAAAACAATTTAAATTATACGTATAAATCTTCCTCTTGAATCACTCTATGTATTGATAGATAGATAGATAGAGAATTTATTTACATTACTTACAGCACACAAATTACAATAAAAAAAAACATACACGTAATACACAATAAAAGAGATAAAAGAATGAAAATAAAAAAGGACAAAACAAAAAAAAAAAAAAAAAAAAACAATATATATATAAACTAACAATCTCCCTTCTTTCCCTTCCTTCATGCGTGTGCCATAGTAACATAAAATGGTCACATCTCAGTTTATTGCTTTGCCCTTAAAAGAGCAAAACACTGATATTCTGCTGTGGCCAAGAGTCAGTTGATGCAAACCATATTAAAATCGGGTGCGGAGTTTAAAAGATCTAAGCGTACAGACGGTGGGATTAGATTTTTTTTTACCATACTACGTTGTGGAGATTAAAGAAATTTACTAACTATAGTTATTACGTCTGACTTTACACCCACTCGTTTAGGAAAATGGGCTTGGAAAATATCGTGTACAGACTGATCAGGATCACGATTTGACGTCAATGGAGACTTTTTATATTTATAATAATATGTATTTATTTATTTATTTATATTTTTGCACACATTAAAACATGTCTACAGTGCGGACTAAATGCCTGATGGCATTCTCTACCAGCCAACCGTTACGATAAACAGAGAGAGTAAATGTCGGTGCATAGATTAAAAAAAATGTAAATTAAATAAATATTTTGAGAAATAACAATTTAAGATAAATAAACATAGAAACATATAGAATAATATACTTACAAGATATATATATATACATAAATCACGTACAATACATATATAAATAACTATTTCTCAAACATGCTTGGAAATGTGAGCATTATTTTGACAATCTTCTTCGAGATAAATCAAAATTGCCGTACTGGCCGAAATACATGCGGGCAGCGGCCGGCAAAAGTTGTATGAAAATCCATATCTGTCGGGTTTTGCGGCCAGATAAATTACTATGTAAACTCATATCTGTCCTGTAATTTAAAAATGGAATGACCTTGTACTTCGAAACATGACTACCAAGGATGTAACTAATACAAGGTTTTATTTAAATTTCGAACTGCAAATAGAAAGCTGTTTATTGAAAAAAAAAAAAAAACAAAGCAACATTATAGCGCCTGTAAAATTATTATTGTTCGTTATTCGTCATTAAATTTAAAAAGTAAAATTGTGTTTTTGATTTCCGCGCATTGTTTGAGAAAAGTACTATACAAGCCTTGGCCACAACTAGGCATTGATGGACTCACGTATGTGTGCCTCGGATACGCCTCGGCCCATTTGTATGTTCGTCCATTAATGCCTCAGTTGCTGGCCGCTGCAGTAATGTACTAAATACGTAGTATATATTGAGTTAATAAATATATAAATCATAATTATATTTTATATAAAAGTCCAGATTGAGGCTTTTCATTGTTGTGATAAATTGAAGTAATATTCACGAAGGGACTTTTTGAAAGAAAAATTTAGCTATTTATATATTTATTAGAATACTTTTTTAGAAGAAATGGGTAAAACTGTAAATAATGTTGAGCACCATAGGCTTTAATTCACTTATATTTCTTTATTTATATAATCTAAAATTTTGCAAGAAGCTATGTCATGTAGCACAAAGTAAAGGAAAAAAATCTCCGAAAACTGTAAATTTGTGGTTATTTCACAAAAAAATTAAGCTTGATGCACGGAACTCTCGTTGTGCGAGTCCGACTTACACTTGACCTAGTTTTTTTACATACACTCTAGCCTAGCTAATATGTTTTAGACTTATAATTTAAGTTTATAAAATTAAAATTCGTTATTGTCTATATTTATATGATACTCAACGTGTACGTTATTTTGGAAAGTAGCTGTGGATTTCTATATTAATGAATAAAAAAAAACAAAGTGCGAAATTGTTATTTTTAACCGACTTCAAAAAAAGGAGACTATGTATCACTATATACCAGTGTCTACGTCGTTTGTGAATCGATTTTTTTTATTTTTTTATTCGAAAGAGTCAGAACACCATTGTCAGCAAGTGAGAATCTGATGATGAAATCCAAAGAAAACGTATAAATAAAGTATTTCATATATATATATATATATATATATATATATATATATATATATATATATATATATATATATATATATATATATGATTTCAAACAGATCAGTATGTAGCATGTACAATAGTATTTTATTTAAATTAGTAGGTGATCATTTTATTTATTGCTTTTTAAAGAGTTTTAAGTAGTTGTTTCATCTTTTTTGAGGTCGGTTCATGGTGTAAAAAAGTATAAATTCTGTCACTCGTAAATACAGTCTAGCAAACCATTTACTGAAAATTTATCGAATTTAACGACATAAATTACTTTTTGTTAAAATTACACGAATGTTTGAACAATACGCCAATATTTGATCCAACTCATTGGCAACGTGTACTAGGCACTTAATTGAACTACATCGCTACTTACTGCTGCATAGTCATAGGTATAGGTACTAATCTTAGGTATCAGTTTGAGCTGCCACTCTGTTACAGGTAGCGAGGCGGCCGGGAGACGAGGCTGGCGCAAGTTATGACGCGGTACAGGTACTTGCCTAAATATCGCGTGAAATATCTGATACAGGGGGCAAAGGGATTGTTAGTAATGGGGACTGAGAATTTCATTGCTAGCAATATACCCAGCCAAGTCGACCACGCGGTTCCCCCTGGAAACTATCATGGTTAATTCTTGTCGAATTCTCGCATCATGGTGGGCCAACTGACCTGCATACATTTTCGCCTATCATCTTCCACTGGTGCCTCGTCGGTGTATACCGATAGCGCGGGTGTGGATACCATTCTATTTTCACCCATTGAAAAGATTTCCCCCTATGGGGGGGGGGGGGGGGTTTGAAAGTAATAGCTACGTTTAGCAGGCGGGTTGGCAACCGTAGTTATGACGCTACTGCCCATCCCTCGACAATTAAGATACTTTCATCATCGTATCATATCAGCCTTTAACTGTCCACTGTTGAACACAAGCTTCCCCCTAGAGGGGTTTTGCCAGTATTTACCACGCTTGGCAGGCGGATTGGCAACCGCAGTTAGGCTTTAGAGATGTTTTAAGAGGGACGCTGCTGCCCATCCCTCACCTTGCCTTAGTCGTCTCTTATGACACCCATGGGAAAGGAAAGGGTAGCCCCTTGTATGCCGAATTCACACGGCTATTCTTTTTTTAACACGTGATAATGGAATGGTAACCCCGCCTCCGCTATCGATATACGCTTGCGGGACACCAGTGAGAGACGAATTCCACTAGATTTAATCACTATGGTTTTCCGGGGAAACCGCGTGGAGGTCGACCTGATAGGTGTATCGCTGGCAATGGGTGAGCTAGACTCCATTACTAACAACCCTCCCCCCCCCCACAGCTATTTGGTATGTTAATTTGTTGTTGCATACCTATATTATTGTTATTAACAAAGTATAATAAATATGTTTTGAACGGAATGTGTAATGTTATATTAAATTACAGTGTATGTTGCATAAATGTGATACTAAAACTAAACATGCTGTATAAGAATTAAATTAAAGCAACTACATTGATATAGAAAAAAATCTAGAATCACAATTGAACACTAAAAATGACAGTGGAAATATTTATTTATTTATTTATTACATCAACTGTATGAGCTTTACAGTCTTCAAATATGCTAACTCAGGAGAGCAGCAATACAATAATAATAATAATAAATAGATTTATTTTTCTCTTCACAATTCATTACAGTGAAATACAATGAGACATACTTATATTAATCAAATTATAAATATAATTGTGGGAGACTGGTGCCTGAGATAGGTATAAGAATACCTGTATTACAGCTCACCAGGGCCTCACTCCGCAGGGTTATTTACTAAGTACTTGTAATATAACAAGTGAATTCAATGTAATAAATATAATTTATAGGAAGAGATAATTAGTTATAATTTAAAATGGAAGTTGTGTGTGTGTGCGTGCGTGTGTGTGCGTGTGTGTGTACGCACTCGCGCGCGCGTGCATGTGTGTGTGGGAGTATGTGTGCGTGTATGTATGCGTGTCTCTGTAGGTGCATGCGTGTTTCTCGCTGTGTGTATTTGTGTTTGTACGCATTCATATAAAAATTATGGTCTTTAAGTTATTTTCTCACATCTGTGGGATAAGTAAGGCCTCTGTAGCATCATAGCCGAGTGTTTTCAACCAATTGGATATGAGCTTTTTACAAGTGTACCTATGATGTCGGTAGATTGACAACTGAGCGTTGAACAATAAAATATATAAATAGAAATAATACACATAAATATAAGGAATAATATAAAAAAAAGATTTAACTTAACTAGAAATAACATTAGATCTTAAATTTCTGAACACAAACACTCTGTGGTCATCCGACGAAATTCCAGCAAGTTGGAGGCAAATACGTCCAATTGTGGATACCGGCTCAAAATATCATTGAGCAGTTTCAATGCATGGGAGATATGCATAATGCTATATAGTTTTGAGTCCTCATGTAAATTAAATAATTTAATTAACTATGGACTCAAAACTGTTGAAATGTTTTTACATCAGGTTTCGTATTTATGGCAAACTAAAATACTTCTTTTAATTTTAATTTTTTGACATTTTTCAACTAACTTTAGAAAGAAGGAGGTTTCAATTCGGTTGTGTGTTTTTTTTTGTATGTTTGTTACCTTATAACTCCATCGGTTCTAAGCTGATTTGGATTTTTTTTTGAAAGGATATATGTAAAAATTGGTCCAATAGAAATTTTATCTAAATCAGTTTAGTAGTTTAGTTTTTAAATCAAAATGAGTGATTTTGTCACGTTTAAAGTATTTTTTTTTTGTTGGTTATAATCTTTAATTACATATGCAATTTATTAACTTGTATTTACGAATTTAAGTCTAAGGTTTTTTTCTTGTTTTTATGGGTAAATTATTGAAATTTTTTTCGAACGTTAATTATTATTTTTACAACTGGCAAATTCTGATCGATATCTATTTATAATCATGTAACGTACGATGGTACGGGACACGTTTAGAAGGACAGGTACGAGTATGATCACGGGAGGGCGCCACTGTACTGTCCCGGTCTGCGCGTGACGAATCTCTTGTTTTGTCATAATGTCATATTCAGATAGCTCGAGTTATTAATTTTATTATTTCTTCAATGTTTATTTCTCAATAGATATTTATTTATATTCATATATATATATATATATATATATATATATATATATATATATATATATATATATATATATATATATATATATATATATATATTTATGCTTTCAGTAACACTCGAGTCTTTGTCTGTTTCATAATTAGATGTTTATATTTTATCAATTATATTACAGATTTCCTATTTTGTATCATTATTCATTGGATTTCTTATATAGACGGAGAAGAAATAATTGCCATTCTACTTTGCCTTTTCGGTAATAGATTTGCCATTATTTTTATCTTTATATCTATGTATTGCGTTGATATTGGTTGGTGTGCAATTTTTAAATACAGGGTTCTTGGAAACTAGCGCTATGACACTATGGTAACTAAATTGACTTGCGACACAACATGATCGTGTTACTAATGTATGACGTAATGAAATTAATCCATATTTCTTTGGGAAATATTGTATACACCCTTGTAGAATATTGCTTTAAAAGTATTTTTTTTATACAACTTAGAATGGCAAACAAGCTGACGGCCCACCTGATGGAAAGTGGTAACGGTCGCCTATTGACATGAGCAGTACCATAGACATAACAGAGTATACTGTTTCACCCATGATACCCCCCATGCGTTGCCATTCCTGAGGACTCAGGTGTCTGTACCCTGTAAATTCACGCCATATCCCACCCTTCAAACCGAAACACAGCCATGCAAACACAACTGCTTCACGGTAGAAACACGAATGGGACAGAGGTACCCAAGCAATCAATTTTTGTACAAATTCTCCCTCTGGTAGAAAGTACTCCAATGATAGCGATTTTAATCTTATGTGCTTGGCCGTGTAGACCGGGCATAGAATAGGCCACTTCTTGTTTTCCCGTGGGTGCCGTAAGAGGCAACTAAAGGTGTTTATAGTCGAGGGACGCGTAGTAACGTACCTTTTAAAATATCTCCAAAGCGAGGGGTAGAGATTGTTAGTAATGCTTACTACCAGTCTCATTACTAGCAATATACCCTGTCAGGTCGACTTCCACGTGGTACACCCTGGAAACCATCATGCTGAAAGTGTATTCATTATAGTGAGCTAACTGACTTGCTTTTCATTGTCATCTATCATCCCTTACTGGTGCCCCGTCAGCGTATACCGTTAGCGCAGGCGGGGTTACCGTTCCTTTATTATCTATAAAAAACACCTCTAAAGCCTTACTGCGGTTGCCAATCTGCCTGCCAAGCATGGAAACTACTGGAATAACTCCCCCAAGGGGGAGGCTTATGTTCAGCAGTTGACAGTTAAAGGCTGATATGACTATTACTAATAATATTGTAAAAATTTCCAATGTTTTCACGTAATTATGTACGCGCGAAGTCGCGGGCGTAGCTAGTGTAATGTCCCTATTTAAGTTTATATTGTGTAAAAGGGGTGCAAGTTAAAATGAGGGTGCACTGTAATTTAGACTTTAAAGATAGACAGTGGGCCAGGGTTGGGGGGAGGGGGTCGATCCACGTAAGCCTGAACTGGGGGTACGGCCTGTCATCTGCAACAGGTTGGCAACATTGTATAGTGTTTACGTAGCCAGTTTAATTTTAGAAGCATAAAAGTACTCAGAAGGAAATTGATAAACTTATAGCCTTTGAAATGTGGTGCTGGAGATGGATGGAGAAAATTAGCTGGAGGGATCGAATTAGCAATGAGGAGGTCCTGCTTAGGGTTAAGGAAAAAAGACAAATTGTTAGAACTATTGAGGTCAGAAGGGGAAAAATATTGGGACACTTGATACGACACGACGACCTTATGAACATTATAGTAGAAGGTAAGATAGAAGGAAGGAGGGGAAGAGGGAGACCGAGGCATAGTTATATCAGGCAGATCAATGAAGGAGTTGGTGTCGTGTCGTATCAAGAGGTGAAGAGACTCGCTGAAAATCGTAGTGAGTGGCAAGAGCTCCACCGACAAGAGCGCAGCTCTAAGGTCACAATGGAAGTCTCCAGATTCTAATACATATTAAAGTGTTGCGTTCAATGACTTTAGAAGGTTCCTGATACGAATATGTTTTTTGATATCTGCATAGATTTGAACTGATTTTGTTTTTCTTTTTTATAGTCGTAAGGTTCAGTCCCATATTAGTTTTGTACTTTAACTAGCTGATGCCCGCGACTTTGTCCGCGTGGTTTTTTTTTTATACTACTTAGAATGGCAAACAAACTGACGGCCCACCTGATGGAAAGTGGTAACCATCGCCTATAGACATGAGCAGTACCATGGACATAACAGAGTATACTGTTTCGCCCATGATACCCCCCATGCGTTGCCATTCCTGAGGACTCAGGTGTTATTCCTCTATACCTAGTAAATTCACGCCACACGCGTGGTATTTGTTATTCCTGTTTAGTATGTA